AATTTTACTATGCCTATGAATATACCACTATCTTCCAATTTGACTTTTCAAAATAAGCATCTCTTTGGACTTCTCTGTCTTCTTCATCTCTTAAACTTCTTGTTACTATAAGCTGTCAATTCTTCCTTTCCAATAGTTATGAGATTCCACTCATATCATTCTAATCCCTCATTATTTCCACTTATTATGTTAACCTACAATTTTTTATTAGGCATCTATCATGTACCAGGCACTGTGTTAGTTAGGTATTGGAAATACAATGGTGAGCAAAGAGAGGTGAGATCTCTGCCCATACATTGTAGTGTAGAAGGAAGACATTAATGAGCACACACAAATGTAAAACTGCAGCTGTGACAAGTATTATGGGGAAAAAAGGTATAAGGTGTCATAAGAGCCTAGAATAGATTGGTTTGACCTAGTTATGGAGGCTTCCTTGAAGAAGTGATGTATGAGTTGAGATCTTAAAGATGAATAGAAGTTAATGAGATGAAGAAAGTTGGGAAGAACATTCTAACTATAGCTAACAGTATATGCAGTGAGTGGCCTTATGATGGGAAAGAGAATACCAAGTGTTGGAGAACTGAAACCAGGATGATGGGCTGAAGACCCGAAAACAAGGGAGAAACTTCACACAAATTGAGCCTGGAGGGATAGGTAGGGACCAAACTGTGCGTAGCTCTATAGACTCTATTAAGAAAATTGTTTTTTTTTTTAATTTTGTGAATAATGGACGGCCACTAAAGGGAGCACTGTGTGTTGTGTGTGTGTGTGTGTGTGTGTGTGTGTGTGTGTGTGTGTGTAATTTGCATTACAAAAAATCATTCTGATTGTATTATGGAACAGATTGGAGGGGGCCCAAGAGGAGAGGCAGAGTCCTATTGGGAGGCTACTGTAGTAGTGCAGGTGAGTGATTGATGGTTTCTTCTTAAGGGCCATAAGTGATAGAGATGGAGAGAAACAGGTGGAGTCAAGAGATATTTAGGAGGTAAGATCTACAGGACAAGATTATGGGTTGGCTATGGCAGGTGAAAGAGAAAATGAAGGAGACAGAGAGAGAGGGTTTTGGATTGCATAACTGAAGTTTGATGGTGCCATTCACTGAAGGAATGCTGAAAGATAATCCAGTTTGGAGAGAAGATAGAGTTTAGTTGGGGCATATTGAGTTTGAGATGTTAATGATATATCCAAGTGATGATGTCAAGTAAGCAATTGGTTATATAACTGTGGAGCTCAGAATAGAGATCTGGTCTAAATATTGAATTTTGAGATTCATATGTGTATAGGTGTCAATTGGAATACTGTGTGTGGAGAAATTATAGAGGAAAAAGGGAAGAGGTACTGGGACCAAGCCTTGAGGGACTCTAATAATTAATAACCAGGTAAAATAGGATGAGTCTGCAAAGGAGATAGAGGAATAGCCAGATAAGTAGGAGAAAATCCAACAGCATGTTATGTCATGGAAGTAAAAAAAAGTATTTAAAGAAGGATGGAGTGGCCAACATTGTCAAAAGTTGTTGAGAGGTCAAGTAAGATGAGGACTGAAAAAGTATTTATATACTTACTTGGAGCCAATTGGTGGCCTTAGTGAATGCTGTTCAGTTGAATGATGATGACTGAAGCCAGGTTAGTGGGCTAAAGAATGGAGCAAGAAAAACAGACTCCTAGATACAGAGGACAGACTGACAGCTGTCAGAGGGGAGGAGGGCTGGGGGACTGGGTGAAATAGGTGAAGGGATTAAGAAAAACAAACAAACAAACAAAAAACCCCTCATGGACATAGACTAGTGATGGCGAACCTATGACACACGTGTCAGAGGTGACACGTGAACTCATTTTTTTGGTTGATTTTTCTTTGTTAAATGGCATTTAAATATATAAAATAAATATCAAAAATATAAGTCTTTGTTTTACTATGGTTGCAAATATCAAAAAAATTCTATATGTGACACAGCACCAGAGTTAAGTTAGGGTTTTTCAAAATGCTGACACGCCCAGCTCAAAAGGTTCGCCATCACTGACCTAGACAATAGTATAGTGATTACCAGAGGGAAGGTGGGTAGGAACAGATGGAAGAGGGTAAATGGGGGATAAGTGGTGATGGAAGAAGACTAGACTTTGGATGGTGAGCTCACAAAGCAAAGTGCAGATGATGTATTGTAGACTTCTACCCTTGAAACTTATATAACTTTATTGACCATGTAACTACAATAAATTCAATTTAAAACAAAAGAACAAGGCAGGAGAACTTGGAGTCAGACAGTATAGATAAATTTTCTTTAAAGAAATTTGAATGTGATGGGGAAGACAGAGATAGGGAACTACCTGCAGAAGAATGTGGGATTTTTATATTTTATTTTAGGAGACTACAATATGTTTTACATGAGGAGGGAAAGGCTCCTTAGGGGAAGGAGGGATAACTGCTGGTGTAAGGTTACTGAGACATTAGCGCAGCTAAATTTTTATCTGTTGACTTTATTTTTTCCTATGAAGTAAGAGGCATGATTATTTGATAAATATGTGGTGTAGAATTTGAGAATGGGGAAGGTCATAAACAACTAGTGTAGATAGTGGGAGCATAAATTGACCAGAGAAAAGTAGTAGGATGGCTGGGCAGTGTGAAAAGCTTATTTGAGTTTGAGATGGCCATGAATTTATAGAAATACTATTCATCCTTTTATGTGTCTGTGTCAGCAGTGCTTGATTGCTCAAGTGCAGATATTAAGGCAATGGATAATTAGGCTGTCCCTGATTTGGTGGAAGTGAGGTGAGGAAGAGAACACTACCAGCCAGGCTCCTGAAGGGTCTCTTTGCCTTCAGTGTTTTCACATTCCTACCTATCCTGTATACTGCCACAAGAATTATTTTCCTTAAAGACTACTTTTTATCAACTCCTTTTCTTTGCTCAAGAACCTGCACCCTTCCAAACGGTGTAGTGAGTAAGAAAACAGCTGATAGACATTGGTTTGAACTCCTTGTGAACTCCAGCAATTCATGTAAACTTCTGACACTCCGTTTCTTCAATTCAAAATGGGGTTAATTGTAATATCTACCTTATAAGGTTATTAGGAGCATTAGATTAGATAGCATGTAGCACAGTGCTTGGCCTGCCATAAGTGCATGAAAGCTGCTATATTATATTCTCTTATCTGTTTATCCACCTTCCCCTTCAGGTTTAAGCCTAGTTTGAAATTCTCTCTCACCCCTATCCAACATACTTTCTCTCAGTTAGACTGATCTTTTCACTGCCTCCATATTCATTGTCATGTGCCTTGCCTGCTCTACCCAAACTTCATAACTTCTCAAAGGCCTGCATCTTCTAAATGAAAGCTTCCTCATTAGTTTGAAAACAGTGTTGCTCTCTCACTGCACTGATCTCCCATTGCACTTTTGGAACCTGATTAAATTCCATTGTTCACTTTATTATAAGCAGTTATTGTATTTACTGCTGGTGTAAGGTTACTGAGACATTAACGCAGCTAAATTTTTATCTGTTGACTTTATTTTTTTCCTATGAAGTAAGAAGCGTGATTATTTGATAAATATATGGTGTAGAATTTGAGAATGGGGAAGGTCATAAACAGCTAGTGTCGATAGTGGGAGCATAAATTGACTAGAGAAAAGTAGTAGGATGGCTGGACAGTGTGAAAAGCTTATTATATTATTACTTTATTATATTTTTATTGTTTTGTTGAAAAATATTATTATACCAGGGTGAGCAAAAGTATATTTACAGTTATAAACAATAATTAATAAACAAATAATACAAGAATAATGTGTTTTGTGTACTCATAACTGTAAATCTACTTTTTCCCACCTTATATTACTAAAATATTGTCTAAAATATTTTAGTAATATAAGACTTTTCCAATAAGAGTGTGAGCTCTTGAGCCAAAGAATCATGCCACAAACTCTATGCATTTCTTACAGGACCTAGAATAGTATTCACAGTACTTGTTAAATTTAATTTACTTGAATTGAGACATAAGCCAGGTCCCAGTGACCTCTAAAGTAGAGTACACAGACAATACATTAGAGTACAGGAAGAAAATATTGTAAAATATCTATTTATACTTATATTCTTTGACATTTCTGTTTTTGTGTGTTTATAATGTATATTATAAAAATTTATTATATATACTCAGATCAAAACATTTTTTCTATAGTATTTAAATTAATAATAGAAATTTGATCCAGTCCAAAATAGCAAGCCTGTGGTGGGCACACGATATAATATACAGATCATGTATTACAGAAATCTACACTTGAAACCTATATAATTTTATTAACCCATGTCACCCTAATAAATTTAATAAAAATAAAGAGAAAAATAAAATAGCAAACCTTTATTTGCCACAGTTAATTATGTTTTGGTCACTTACTCTTTGTCAGGTGCTATGCTAAATGTCTTACATGCATTAATTTCTCAAAACAATTTCATAAGGTAGGTATTATTATCTCACATTATATAGGAGGAAATTGAAGCACAGAGGGGTTAAGTAACTAGTCCAAGGCTATATAATGAGAAAGTGATGCGCCAGGATTTAAAAATACATCTATTTTAATCCAAAGCTGGTCCTATTTTTTGAAGATTTTTAACTACACAATTCAATTTCTTTAATAGATACAAGACTATTCAAGTTATTTATTTCTTCTTAAGTAAGTTTTGATAACTTGTATCTTTGAAAAAATTGTCAATTTTCCAAAGCTAATCCTCTCAATTAGTACACTACTATAGCATGTACACCTCTTTCAGAAGTGCCTATGTTTTTTATGGAGACATGATGGAATAGACTTCTTACTTAACCAGGGCATTATGAGAACCATATAGAGATTTTAGAAAGTAGAAAGTCATCATAAGAAAAACCAAGTAATTGATTTTATTATATTTGATACTTAACTCCTTTTTAAAATATGAGAAAAATATAGAGCTCTTTCTTAAAGAATGGTCTCTTAATTTGAAAGCTGAACCCAAAGTAACACATGCTTTCTATCTTTTTCAGTTGTTTCTGAAAATATGACAATTCAAGAAACAAGTACAATTCTTTCACAGCAAATAGATTTAACAACCCCATCCCAAATTACTGGACTAAAACCTCAAAATACTGTATATAGTTCTACAATTATGTCTAAAGGCATACCTGTATTTAAAACTGATTATAAAACCATATCATATTCCAATACAACATCTCCACCTCTGGAAACAATGACTGTACCAAAATTTTTAAAGACATCCATTTCTGAGACAGCTACATTCATAGCAGACATTTTGTCTACTTCAGCAGCTGTTGCTCTACCCACCAAGAATACTTCCACAGGCACTACTACCAATTCCATGAAAATAACTAAATCTCCATCTTCAGAGAACACAGTGACAACAAAAAGGGCTGGAGCAATTTTTGAGACCTTTTATCCAACTACAGCTACTAATTTCTTATACACATCTGGATTTACCAAGAATTCAATTGTACCCAAAACTTCAGCGATTGGATCGCCACTGGCCATTATGAAGACAGCATCTTTATGCTCATCTATTGAGTCAACATCCAAATCTACACCATCATGGCATAAACACAAATCCACAGGTATTGGAGCACTCCCTATCTCCACAGCTAGCCAGGAGTTTCTTGCATCTACAGTTGCTAGAACTGTACCTTGGTCCACCGTGAAACAGACTTCCACTCACATTGGGACTGCATCAGCATTCCCACCTATGTCTGTGCTCATCTCCAAAGCTGCTCCAGTAGATACTGTATTTCCTAGAAATCAGAAAGCATCTACATTGGCAATGACTGATAAAAAAATACCATTTACAGTTCATTCAATGACACTTCCATCTAAGCCTATTGAGACGACTTCTGAGCTAAGAACAGTTGAAACAGAATTGACATCTACAAATTTCCAGGATGTCTCTTCACCCAGAATGGAGGATACAATATCTATCTCCATGCCAAAAGAGGCCTCTTCTATGGCCCTTTCTTTCAGGACATCCTCTTCATTAACCAGAGCTCAGAGTGTACAGACAAATATTGATACTGAGACCACACATACATCCTTGATTCCTGGAATCACACTTGCACCTGCAGCTGATGAAAGTATGCTTTCCCCCACAGTTACTGGGTCAGAATATACCAAGAATACACCCACAGATGGTGAAAATGTGTTTCCTTTTATCTCCACCAGATCAGCTTTCATATCCAGGGCATCTGAGTCTGGTCCCACAACAATAAGTGATGAAGGTGCCCATCTATTTACCAGTGAGATCAATTGGACTTCCAGACCAGACCAAACTCTGTTGACATCAATATTCCATGGAAATACTTCTAATACAGAACATTCATCCACAACTGCTGATGTTAATATACCTCCAGAAGCATCCATAGAAAGTGAGGCTACCACTACCGCTGATGCTATTATTAATACTGATACCATAATAGACAGATATACAGCAGCTCTATCCAACTTGACATCTCCGTGTTTGGCTAATTTCTCCATAGTTTCTAGAACCACATCTGTAAACAAACTGCCTGAGTTTAAACTTACCACCTTACTGCTAAGAACCACCCCTAGGTCCACAGTAGCTGGAAATGAACTTCTTTCAACATCAAAGGAAACAGTTTTTCCACCAGTAGATATAATATCTACCCTTGCTGACACTGAACTAGATTTTTCTACTGAGAGTGCTTCTGAGACTACACAAACAGAGGTAAAAAATACAATTGCATTTGGAGAGACAACAATCCCTGTACCGGAGTCTGCAACAACACAAAGATTCAATGCTTCTGTGACAAGGAAAGAAACAACTTCCCATTATCTTAAGGGAAGACCAACTATAGCAGCAACAACAGAGGTTTCTCCATTTGCAACAATGCAGGAAGCAACAGATGAGTCTATACAAATGGTGACAGCTTCTGTCGTTGTTTCCCCTTTTCCTGATTTAGAAAAGTCGACTTCCCCATTGGATAATAAAACTGCAACTACTGAGGTGAGAGGAAGATGGCTTTCGCCAAAATCAGTTAAAACCACACCTGAGACTTCCTACAATGGATCTACAGAAATCTTTAATTCCACCCACACATACACAGCAGAGTGGACTTCAGAGACTCCACCTGAAGGTAATCCAACTCCATATCCCACTTCTGGGAGCACAAAGGCATTCCCTGAACCCCTGGTTGCTTCTACCATAAGAATATTGGAAACCAGTTTTGCCACTATTCCTACAGAGAGGACAGCTATGTCCTTGTCTACTGGTATGTTGCCTCCACAACCTACAAGTACCCATTCCTTAACAACCCCTATGCCTATTATCCATATGTACTCACTGCCAGTTAATGCCTCTGCTGTCACCTCTATGGTGATGTCTGAAGAGACTAAGGTTACCATGTCTGAGCCTTCTGCACTGGCCAGGGCTTCCTCCACATCTGCATTCTCAGATGTCTCACCTCTGTCATCAGCTATACTGACTACAGCATCGGTGCCACCAGTGGATAAGACTGCTTCCACAGCCAGCGATATTGTGACACCTATAGCAATTTCCTTTCTGACAGAAACTACAGTCTCCTCATTGAGACCTACCAGTCCTTTGGCAACTAAGGCTGAGACCACTTTTCTGTCCACCTCAGCTGACAGAGTAACTTCATCCACACCCACTCTTGCCTGCTCTAAATATCTCCCTGACAATATTTCTGTTGTGACCTCCACTCATATGATCTCAACAATGTCTATACCAGTAGCAACCCAGTCCACATCTCGAGTAGAGGATGCTTCCACCCATGCTCTCAGCTTCCCGAATACTTTCAATGGCAGTGGAGATGTTGTTAGCTTGATTACTGCCACCACAGAAAATTATGTTATTGATGAGACCAGGCCCTCTGCCAACAAGCTTACTACCTCAGATGGTCAGATTTCTCAATTTTTCACAGGTCTTGCAAACATACTGGTCCCCACTCTATCAGTGACTCATATTTCTACCTTAACTTCTGACAAAGAGCAGATTATCACCTCCCTAGGAAAAACCCTTGGAACTATGGAGGTGACAGAGATATCCCCATCAAATAATCCTTTTATTTCAGAGTCTCAGAGTTCTTCATCCTTGGAAATGACAGATACAGGATTTGCTGAGACCACAAAAATGTCCAGTCATCAAACACATTCACCTTCTTCAGAGAGTCCACTTGTAACTCCCCCTGATGGAATTTCAGCTTCATCTCCCACATCTGGGCATACACAGACTATACCTACCACCTGGATCTCAAGTAACACCGATGTTCACATTTCAGAAATGTCTACCAGTCTTGGGAAAACAGCTTTCCCTTCAAAAGCTCTAACAATTACCACATTTTTGTCTCCTGACAAAGAAAGCATAAGTGCCCTCTCAATATATACTTGCAGGACTGAGAAAATGACAGTAAGAACCACCTCTGTGACTCAACCTTTCTCATACCACCAGAACACTTCATTTGTAGATGCCATATCTTCCAGGACAACCAGAATATCAAATCCTATAAACATCAACACAACTCTTTCACACTTGCTTTCACCCTGGACTCAACCTGAGGTGACATCAGTTGCCTCTCCCATTTCTGAAAGCACACAGACCTCCCCAGAGTCCCTGTCTTTTTCCATAACTGGACTGTCTAGTGCCAATTTTACAATTATTTCTACTGACAGGGTCACTACAGCCCTTTCTGCTCCAAGTGTAACTACCGCACTTCTTAGGAAAACATCTATGGCAACGTCCATTCCTATCTACCAGATGTCTTCACTGCCAGTTACTGCCTTCACCTCCAAAAGAGTTTCTGACACTCCTACAATACTAATGACCAAATATTCTAAAATAACACATGCAGATTGTTTGAAAAGACACTCTATAGCTACTTCTGGACGTGGGTCTGAGATGTCCTCAATGTCAGTTCATGACTCTGCTTTTTCACCTCCAACTGTTTCTCCTGACAATTCCACAACAGTTGGATCATTCTCTACTTTATCGTCTTCAATTACCCCTAGGACTACTATAACCATACAAACATCTGCATTGGATGTCACACCTGTGACATATGCTGGTTCTACTTCAAAAAGCACAAAGGTTTCTTCTGCTTTTACTACTTCAGAAATGACAGAGATGTCCTCCCAGATCACACCTACATCCTTTTCCTCTCCAACAGAGACAACTTATCCCTCTGTGAAAACCATTCCAACCACTATTATGGCTGGGGTGGTGACTCCATTTGTAGGCACCACTGACTCCTTTCTACTCAGTTCTGAGAACACTGAAGCTATGTCTTCCATTCCAAAGACCACATTTTCACCATTTTTATCAACATCCCCACAGTCATTCCAAGGAGACAAGGCTACAACTCAGGGCATATTAACTGGAATTACTAACACCTCCCTATCTACTGTAAGCAGTGGTAGAGTAACAATTTTCACAAATACTTATTCTAGAACTGCTGCTCCTAAAAGTGTGATTTCATCTATTCCTTCAGATAGTCTCCCTACTCCCTTGAATATTCAGGTTTCCCAATATTTGACTAGCTTTAAGAGCACTCCTAGACCCACACAAAGTATAAAAGCCACCACTTTCTTTTCTTCAAAAACAAAAAAAATGACTTCCTTGTCTGAAAATACTTCAAGCACTGAACTAACAAAAGGTGCCACATCTGTAAATACCCCTATTTCATACCATCCATGGACTCCATCCAGTGCAACTCTGCTCTCTTTTAAAACATTTCTTTTTTCACCTCATAGTACTAAAGCTGAATTATCTACTCCAAAGACTTATCTTCCTCCTACATCCCACATGGTTGAATTTCCAGTTCTGGGAACAAGAACCACATCTAGTAACACCCAGCCTCTGCTTATGACTTCCTGGAACATACCCATAGCTAAAGATTCTCAATTTCCAATTTTTACCACTACTCATGTGCCTACACCCAAGAAGATGGAAACAGAGACTCCATACCTTGTTCCTGGGTCTTTATCAACATTCACGGCCTCTAAGACTGGTCTTGTATCTGGAAATGTTATGGCAATATCATCGATTTCTACATCAGGAATTCTTCCTACCTTGGGGATGTCTGAGAGCCCTTCATTATCAATATCTTCAAGAACTATTCCTACCACTTTGGTTGACATTAAGCAGACATTTGGTAAGACTAACATATCTGTGACTCCTGTGACCACACTCCCATCAAATCCTTCTTGTGCTACTTCGGGATCTATAATTTCAAAAAATACTACTTCACCCATGCTGACATGGGTCTTATCTAGTCTCCATTCAGGTTCTCCTCTGGCAACCGTATCTAATACTCCTCAATTATAACTTCCTCTGCAATAGAGGTGCAGCCCACACTGGACTCCCTTCCAAATATAAGCACTACTACATCCACAACTACTGAAGCCTCATTTTCTCTCACATCTACTGGAGTAACATATCCTTCTTACAGCAACTGTGTTTTCACTGCTTTCTTCCTCTTTTGAGACAAACAGGCTGGACTCTACACCTTCCTTTCTATCTACAGAAACATTGACTTCTCCTATTGCCATTTAGTACACAGGTATGTTCCACAATGTGTGCATTGTATTACTAGTAGAATGCATGCACAATGTTCTCCAAGGTGGCCAGTTTTCTGAAGGCAGAAAAGGATAAAGAAGGGTACAGGTGTCTATCTCTTTCAGTCAATGGGTACAGTGGGGACTTTATCCAAAGATAGAACTCTCTAGCCATTTTTTAAATCTTTGCTTTATTAAGTACTAGAGGCCAGTGCACAAAATTCATGCATGGGTAGAGTCTCTAGGCCTGGTTGGTGATCAGGGCCAATCTGCGGGGTGACTGGTGTGGCGATCGGGGGTCCCCTGCTGGTACCCGCCTTGGTGGGCCTGGCGCTGCCTGCTCACTAGCCCTGCCTGCCCCCTCACCACCATTGCCAACCGGTGACCAGCGGGGTGATTGTTGGGGTACCCCACTGGCACCTGCCTTGGCAGTTTGCTATGACGCACACTGACCACCAGGGGACAGACGCTCAACACAGGAGCTGCCCCCTGGTGGTCAGTGTGCTCCCATAGGGGAAGTGCCGCTCAGCCAAAAGCCGGGCTCATGGCTGGCGAGTACAGCGGCAGTGGCGGGAGCCTCTCCTGCCTCTGCAGCAGTCTCTCCTGCCTGCAGCAGTGCTAAGGATGTCCAACTGCCAGCTTAGGGTGTAGGCCGGGCTAAGGGACCCCTCCGAGTGCACAAATTTTGTGCACTGGGCCTCTGGTATAGGATAATGCAAATGTATCTTTTTACTAAGTATGACATTTCTAAGCCTCCTTTCCACCCATTTTGTTCCTGATGCTCTGACTCTGCCAATGTGAACATGGATCAGGAACCTCACCCCCTTCCAAATAAGAGTATTATATAGTCTTAGGTCTGACATATTGACTACATACCAGAAATCACCAGAAGACATTCCTCTGATACAAGTCTCAGCCTTCTCTAAGCTTCACCTCCAGCTGACTTACAATACTTACCAGTGGCCAAGGAGTGTTTGGCTTCCATATTGCTAAAATTTTAGATGTTCCTTCAACTTTTAACATTCCAAAATTGAAATTTAATAGGGCAGACAATAGGAGGGAATTACAGAGAGAAAAACCTGTAGCAGAAAGAAATACACAGGAAAAAATAAATATTTCCTCAGGCCAAATGATCTTGTGAAATTATGTTTAGCTTGGCTATTAAATGAACTTGGAATCTGTTGATCAATGAAAATTGAGGATTTGGGAGATTTGTAGCATGTCTATTAACTGTGTAGGGAACTGCCTAAATAATTAAAGCAAAAATGCGATGGTATGTCCTGTTTTTATTTTTTAAATTACTATTTTTTTCAATTACAATTTACAGTCAATATTGTTTTATATTAGTTTTGGGTATATAGCATAGTGGTTAGACAGTCACATACTTCAAAAACTATTCTCCCGATATTTCCGGTACCCACATAATTATTCTAATGTTATCAACTATATTCCCTATGCTATACTTTACATCCCCATGGGTATTTTGTAACTACCACCCTGTACTTCTCAATCCCTTAACTTTTTTCACCCAGTTCCCCAATCCCTCTTCCCTCTGGCAACCATCAGTCTGTTCTCTGTATCTATGAGTCTGTTTCTGTTTTGTTTGTTCCTGTTTTACTTGTGAATATGAAGCCAAAAGTGCTTGTTCTTGACCTTGAAATTAAATTAAGCAAAGTTTAAGAATGAGATTTCACTGTTTAGTTTCTTTAAAGTAAAGAACAATTTTCATCAAATTAACAGAAGTTAAATTTCTTGAATTCAGTACATAAAATTAATCTCCTTATTTTTAATTACAGTTTCCTTTTATAATATTGGAATGAGCTTCTCTGTCTTTGATGAAGAGCCAGCGATCCCTATTACCAGTATTGTAAATGAATTAGCAGAAAATTGGGTAAAATAATCTTTTGAATATTTATAGTACATATAAAATATGTGAATATATGTGTATATACATGTGTATGTATATATATGTGTGTATATATATGACAAAGATTGAGTATATTAAAACTAAGTTTTACTTTTTCTACACATAATACATTTCACAGCTAATTGGTTTTGACTTTTTGCTGAAAATCTATCGACTCTGTAATCAACACCATGAAGATATATGTGTTTTTTCTTTCATAGTGCCAATGCTGGAAGCTTTTATGGGATGTTAATATATTTTTTTAAAATATATTTTATTGATTTTTCACAGAGAGGAAAGGAGAGGGACAGAGAGTTAGAAATATCGATGAGAGAGAAACATCCATCAGCTGCCTCCTGCACACCCCCCACCGGGGATGTGCCCGCAACCAAGGTACATGCCCTTGGCCGGAATTGAACCTGGGACCTTTCAGTCCGCAGGCCGACGCTCTATCCACTGAGCCAAACCGGTTAGGGTGGGATGTTAATATTTTAATTTATTTAGAAGTGTACACTTTTTTTCCACTGACACAAATTCTGCGCCTTTTCAAATTTTCCTATTTGGGGAAAGTAGGAGAGTAGTGATAACAAAGTCTATGCTATTTAATTTAAATATTCTTGTTTTCTGCATTTTAATTTCTCTCTCTCTTACACAATAAATGTTTTACTTATCCTTACATTGTTTCTGATCATAGGAGTACTACATACTCTCTGAAGAAATCCAGAATTTGAAATGTGAAACTCAGAAAGTATACATGCTCTCTAATATTGCTCTTTGTATTAATAGTTTGAGGTATATTTTTTCAGACTTTTTCTATACATACAATAACATTGATGCATGTATATTCTTTTGTAAAAATAACTGAAATCATACTAATTATGCTAACTTCCTTTTTCACTTAACCATCTATCTTTGAGCATACTCATGATTATAAACATAGATCTACCTCATACACTTTAACAGATGCATAGAATTTCACCGGATAATTGTAAAGTAGTTTTTAATTCAGGCATCCATTGGTGGACATTCATGTGTTTCTATTTTTTCTCTATTTGGAAATAATGCTAACAATAATGCCCTTGCAATAAATTTTGGGGAAGCACTTGAGTATTTCTGTAGGATAAATTCCTAGAACTGGAATTGTTGAATCAATTGATGAATATTACACATTTTAATAGCTGTTGCTAAATGACCTCCCAGATAGGTGATACAAACCTGCATCCCTACCAACAGTAAATGGTCATGTCTGTTTCCCCTCTCTCCCCATCAGGCATTTATTTTCAAGTGTACCATATATGACATGATTATAAGTGCTTGACATGATTGGTTATATTCATCTACTAGGGTTGCCATAACAATATGATACACTGGGTGGCTTGAACAACAGACATTTATTTTCTCACTGTTCTACAGACTGGAAATCCAAGATCAAAGTGCCAACAGGGTTGGTTTCTGGTATGGTCTCTCTCTTTGGCTTGTAGATGGCTATCTTCATTTTGTGCCTTCACAGGACTTTTTCTTTGTGTGTGTGTGTGTGTGTGTGTGTGTGTGTGTGTGTGTGTGTGTGGAGAGAGAGAGAGAGAGAGAGAGGGAGAGAGAGATATGTCTGGTGTCTCTTCCCCTTCTTATAGTGACATCAGTCCTATGGGATTAGGGCTCTACCCTTATGACCTCATTTAGCCTTAATTACCCCCTTAAAGGCTCAATCTCCAAATATAGTGACATTAGGAGGTTAGGGCTTCAACATATGAAATTTTGGGGATACAATTAAGCTCATAACAGTAGGTAAAAACCAAGTGAAGCAGATGGAAATGTTGAACCAGCTGAAATAGTGAATGGAGCTTAATGATCACATCATCTCAGGTAACTTTGCTCAGTTAAGACAGAGGAGTAGAAATACTAAAACTGATATGTTTTATCTTTTACAGTTGAATTCTATATTTCAGGACAGTGAATTTGCTCTTTCTAATCTGGCTATTCAAATTAAAAGCAGGTATGTGAATGTCATCTGTTGTGGGTTGAAGGGCTGTTTGAGGGCACTCTGGATCTGTTATTATCCAGAGAAGATTTCCTTTGTTTTTGTCTGAGGTGTAGGGACTGCTGCATTTTGAGTTGAATCTTCCCTTCTGAGTGTAGGTTCTTTTTGGACTGAGAAAGAAATTTGTATTAATATTATAGAGTATAGCCCTAGCCGTTTTGGCTCAGTGGATAGAGTGTTGGCCTGAGGACTGAAGAGTCTGGGTTTGATTCCAGTCAAGGGCATATGCCCGGGTTTTGGGATCAATCCTCAGTAGGAGGCATGCAGGAGGCAGTCAATGATTCTCATCACTGATGTTTCTCTCTCTCTCTATCTCTATCTCTCTCTCTCCCCCTTCCTCTCTGAAATCAATAAAAATATATTTTAAAAAATACTATAGGGTTTAAATTCAGTGGGAGAACAAAATAGAATAAAATAAGTATGGGGAAACAGTGGAATTGGACTCAGTTACCTCTAATGCCCCCTTTAGCTTTAAAATACTATGATTCTGTGACTTAGGGGGAAAATGCCTTAAAAGATGAAAGACTCCGAATGACCAATGCATAAAGATTTATAAGGCCTTTTATTTTTGGACAATGTACTTCCAGGAATTAGAAATTCCAAAGGGAACTTGAAATATTTAGAGTGAGGAATGCTGACTAGTTCAAGACTTGCCTGGGGCACAAAGTTGGAGAGCTGATTGCAGTAATATTGGAAGGCACTGAGTAGTATCAAGAAGATGACCAAAGCAATTGGTTGTCTGATAAATACTTCCTCTGCTCTTAGATTGCACATATATTGGTCCTCTGTTAAAGGAACATTCAGAGAATACTTTTGAAAAATAGGCATGGCTCTGGTATACCACTGTAAGCTGATTTTTATTTTTTATTTATTTTTATTTTTATTATTGATTAAATTATTACTTAAGTGTCCTTATCCCCACGTTACTCCCTATCCCCCCATGTAAGCTGATTTTTAAAACAATACACGTGCCTGCCTATCTTCCACACACTGGGATTTTGGTTTCTATTCCATGTTCAAATATAAATAGGCTCAAGAAGGTTTATATAAGGTAATAAAAGTAAATCCATGGTAGGTTATTAAAAGAAAATTGTGCAATATACAACATTCTTTTTAAAGAATTGTGTCAATTATGTTTACTTATTACAAAAGTAATATGTGGCCATTGTAAAACCTTAGAGCTTAACAGAAATATGTAACTTGGATAGCAAAAATCTCCAGAAACACACCCATTCCAAGAACTCTGGTTAACAATTTTCTTACATACTCCTCTAAATTTGTTGCCTTGCATTTACTAAGAGAACGGGATCCTACTCTACATACTGTTTTCCAACATTCTTTTCATGCTTTAGAATGCATCGTGTACATCCTTTGAGGCCAATACATAGAGATTTAGCTTATTCATTTTTATGCTTGCATAGGATTCTTTTGCATGAGTGTACCATGGTGTATTTACCCAATTACTTAGTAATGGACATTTCAGTTATTTCCACTCTTGTACATATATTTGTATGGTTCCTTGCTGGTACTATTATGGAGTTGATTCTTGAAAGTGGGTTTGGTGAGTCAAAGGCTTACTACCATTTTGGTATACAAATAATGACCAAACTTTTTTGAAGTATCTTCTTGGAGCCCTAGAATTATTTTAATTCCAAGCTGGGAGATTATACTGTTTTGCCTCAGAGTTGTCTTTCTCCTGAACCTGTGCTCTTATGTATTTGGTACTCTATTTCATTTGTCTATAATTTTTGATGCTTTTGATACAGAGACACTTCTAAGGAAGAAAAAACCATGGACCAAAATTTTGTAAGTAATTTTTCAAAACAATGTACTTGTAACCTATTTTATACCTGATTAGATGTAAGTAAATAGCTCTTCTACCCAAGTATATATTACTAGAGGCCCAATAAACAAAATTTGTGCAGGAGTAGGCCTTTCTTCCCCCAGTTGCAGGCACCAGCTTCCCTATGGGACCCAAACTTCCCTCCAGCCACCAGCACTGACCTGGGCTTCCTTTGCAGAGGAGGCCCCGCACACCCACGACAGCCCACTGGTTGGTGACCTGGGCCTCCCTCTGCGTGGCAATGGTGGGGCAATGGCTGGGCCCTCAACCAATTGCATCGCACCTGCCTTGACTGGCTTGGTGCCAGTGGGTGTCATAGTGTGGTCCGGATGGTCATCTGGATGATCATCTGGATGGTCATTCCACTGTTCGGCTGTTTTGTCAATTTGCATATTAAGCTTTTATTATATAGGATTAGGCAAGGCTCAATTGTAATCCTTGAGGGTCAAAATACATTACCTTCTTTGGAATTGCACAAGAACCCAGTAAGGAAACCATCCTCTGCTTTTTGAACTATGTATGTGGCAGTTCTTTCAAGGCCCATTTTGTGGGCTATGGGAGTATGGAATGACTTTGGGATTGTAAATGGTAAATGGAATTTCTTGATTGTGGACTTCTTGTAAAAAGTCTGGTTCTTCCAGGAGTGACACAGTTGTTTGCAAGGCTGGCATTCAGAAATACATTCATCCTCTATTTGTATAGATTTGAAGTCAGAGTGTAACAAAACTATCTCCCATCATCCTTGACCCAATTCTCAGTACTTATTCCAGTGCCTCAAAGCTTTACAATGTTAGACTCTGAAAGGATTAGTAAACACAGATTTTAAAGTATTTAAACGAGATAAATATTTTAACTATACAAAATGCAATCAGTGCATTCCAAGTTATCTGCCATCATTTAAAATACTTTCTATAAATAGCTGATTCAGAATTTTTAATTTAATACATGATAGATAACATGACATGACTAAACTTCCTCTCAAAAAATAGGTGTAAAAGCCTATTGCTAATAATGAGTTCCCTGGGTTAGAATCCCTGCTCTTCCACTTCCTGATTGTGAGACCTTGGGCAACATAGTTAATCTCTCTATGCCTCACTTTCCTAATCTGTGCAATGAGGATAACAATATTATAATCCCTCACAAGGCTATTGGAAAGATGGAATGGGATAATTTATGTAAAGTGCTTAGCACATGACATAAAGCACAGTAAATGCTTGGTAGTGTTTACTATTGTTATCACTATGTTAGGTTTAGAATCTACTCCTAGTTCTTTGACTTCTCAGCTGTGTGATACTGGGCAAATAATTTAACTTCTCTAAGACTTAGCTTCCTCATGTAGAAAATGTGCTGACAATCCCTGGAATGCCCACCGTACAGAGTTAGTTTGAGGACTATAAATGCATTGATGTTTTAGAGGGTGATTTGAAGACGGCAATGAGTTACATAAATATAAAGTATAATTATGATTGCTGTAGTTTACAATAAGCCCTGTACTCAGTTGTGATGTTTGTTTAAAGATTTCAGCGAGTATGTACTTTTTTTTTGCTTTATTTGGAACAGAGAGAAGGGCAAGAGATGGCTACAATTTCCCATGCATTATACAGGTAGGAGCTGAGTTTATTCATAGCTGGTACATTTAGTTATGATTTCCCTTCCATTTAATTCTGTATGTGCAGTCTGTTGGTCAGAGTTGTCAGAAGGAGATCAAAGTACCTGGTGGTTATTTTATAGAGGCTGTCATTGGGCTCTTGCCTTCATAAAATAAGTTGTTTCAGTTGGTCATGGAACAGCCTAGCAGCCTGCTTGCTGCTGCCTCTTTGTAGTGAAGAGAAAATGGAGTCCAAAGTGGTCATAATTTGGGGATGGAGGAATAAAGTATTTGTTGTCATGAAAAAATTCCACAAAATACTGAGCAGGAAAATTGAAAAAGCAAGATGGAAAACATCCTTGGTTCTGTTCAAACTCATGGTCCAGCTTCTCCAGCTACTATTGGGCTGCTTGATGCAACTCAAGAAGTACATATAGCCAAAGAAGACTCCTGGAAAAGTCATTGAAATATTCAGGATGCTAAGAATAGAGAGTCTATTGCAGCAAGAGGAGAAGTTTAAAAAAGAGTTCTCTTCAGGCTGGAAAGATGATAGTTGAGAAGAGAGAGACCCCAAATGAAATGGGTAAGATGAACAGGGTCTTCACCAAATATGGATCAGTGAAGGGAGTGACATGTCTTATATTGGACATAAAACTTTTGAGTAAACACAGGCACATCTAAATTTCAACAGCTGGTAGGAAACATAGGAAATGTGTTCTTCAAAAAGATTATCTACAACTGGAAATGGAGAAAGGGTACAGGTAAGTTTGTGAATCTGAAATGTGTTCTGTAATGGAGCAGTAGAGGAATTTAGAATCTTTGAGGACCTCACTACAGAGGTTGAGATCAAGGACAGCCCTATTCTTTCATAATATGTCTTTTAGTAGAAAGAATATTTAGAAATGAAATACTAGGTCTTTGTGACCTTACTTAAAGTTTAGTTTCCTCATCTGTAGAATGGGGATAATAATAGCACGACCACATAAGGTTGTTGTGAGGATAACATAAATCAAAACATGTGAAGCAAGAATTCCATAAATGTACCAGGCCAGTGTGGCTCAGTGGTTGAGCGTCAACCATGAACCAAGAGGTCACCAGTTCCCTGTCAGGGCACATGCTCTGGTTGTGGGCTCTGTAGGGGGCATGTAGGAGGCAGCCAATCAATGTTTCTATTTTACTATCTCTCTCCCTTCCTCTCTCTTTAATATCAATAAAAACATTAAAAAAGAGAAATTTATAAATGTTAGTTACTTTCATTATCATTACTATTATTCTATGATAGAAATAGTTTTTTTGTAGAACACATCTTTATAGACTAACTGAGCATGTGCCTATTTGCTTTATTGCAAATGATGGATAAATTGGAGACCAGAAAGATAAAAGGTTTTCTCTAAAGTAATAAATCCTGAATACTTCATCTCTTCTATTAATTACCACAAACTTCTAGAAAAATAGTATGGCTACCCAATTTCAACATAATGCAAATGTTCCTGACTATTCTTTTGAAAATGCATTTTGAGTTTTTTGTTTTGGATACGAGAAAATTTATCAGACAATTTAAATATGCTGTCTTCCATAATTTCTTAAGATTTCCCACTTAATAGTGTAAAATATTTGATATTTATAAACTACCACTAAGTTATTTATACAGAATTGCATCACCACAGGCCAAGTTGCACACTGTTGACATAACTATAATATATTTTTTGTTTGTTCTGCTTTTTAGCTGTGTCTGTCAGGTCATCGTAAAGGCCAACTCTTCTTTAGCACCCACTGAATTGATTAGCAGGATTAAAAGTAAAATACATGGCAACCTCATGCATGGAAACTTCACACAAGATCAATTGACGTTATTAGTAAAGTCTGAACATGTTGCAGTGAAAAAACTAGGTAATTTGGGTGGGGGTATTCCATATGAAGTCACTGTCCTTCTTATAAAGCTCATAATGCATGCACAGTAAGACATCCTGAATTCAGAAGGGAGAGAAGTGATATTCATGTTCCTTTCCACATCCTTTGTACCCACTTGCTCTGACAACCTTTCTATCTATCTATCTATCTATCTATCTATCTATCTATCTATCTATCTATCATCTATCTATCTATCCATCTATCATCTATCTATCTATCTATCTATCTATCTATCTATCTATCTATCTAGCCAGGGGGGTTACCAGAGACTTTTGGTCAGCTCTGGATTTCAGCAGTAGCCAGTTCATCAATGATGTGGAATGATTGTCTCTTTTGCATAAATACCCAGAGACCTGGAGAGCTTCATTACACACAATAGCTGCCTAATAGATACTTGCTTTATTGATTGATTTAGCCAGACTATTCATCTTGGAAAGTGATCTGGGAACAGTCCAGAATTTCTCTCATGGTCATTTTCTTTTTAGATTAGCAAGGCTTTAATGGCAAAAGAGAAAGACTATCAGGCCACGCCATCCGATGGCAGCTTTCTTCGTTTTCCCTAATAGACTGGGGTAAAAATATTGAGCTAACCCCAAATAACACACATAGGCATTAGAACACACAATCCTTGGCAACAAACTAACTGGGTGGTGGAGGGCATGCTTCTATTGAGAATGAGAGTGAGATGAAAGGCAGAGCAGTATTGAAGCCACAAGCAGAGCCACCATGCAAATGATGCTAATGAATGTGTCCGGAGAATGAGGGTAAGGCCTTTTATTCTCACTCAGAGAGGAGATGGGGATGGCTGGGCAAAGCTGGCTGGGCCACTCTGTCAACACCTGAGGGAAAGATTTTTGGAATCAGGGTTATACACCCAATGAGTGGTCAGTAAAAACTGGGAACTTATTACATAAACATAGTCCAAGTCATATCTCCCTTAAGGTGACAACACTTGGCAGCAAAACTTTGCCATCAGCACCAACATCAGAACAGGCTCCCATCTGTATTGATGATGATGGATATATTGAGTTTACTTAAACCAAATCTACGCTAGAGTCAATTAAGAAGCAAGGAGCTATCCAGAAATATAAGCCAGCCTATCATTGCACCTCACACTATTAACAGTGGGTACCTGAAAAGGAGGGCAATTGGCAGGTGGGGACTTTTGATTTTTACTCTACGCCTCTCTGTGTGGCTTAAATTTTTTTCAAGGCACATGTATCATTTTTAAAAACAAAACTAAAAACCTGCTCTGTCAACTGGTAGTTTTAATGAAAAGGACTAAATGTGAGAGTGTATTGGGAGGCTTATATTTTAAGTAAAGAACCCATTTAATGCTATTTTCAGTGAATCCTGCTTTAAATGGCCTGGCTAAAAGAAAAGTTTCCTTTCTATTTGCTGATGTTTGTGCACAAGATAATAATGATGGGTCATAATGGATGTTTGTGATACTTTTAAGTGCCTTTTGCCCTTTAAAATGTGCATACATTTTCTCTGTAGAGCCAGGAAAGTGCAAAGCCGAAGAGACAACCTCTAAATACAAAGGGACATATAAGTGGCTCTTAACCAACCCTACTGATACAGCCCAAACTAGATGCATAAAAAATAAGGCTGGAAACGCTACTAGAATCTGGTATGTATTGGCCAAGTTCTAAATGCTAGTTCAAATACACAAAGATCTGCTAATTAGGGGCGTTTTTCTATGTCATTTGCCTGAGCTCCTTCTCTCCCCCTTTACTGCCAGTCTTTCTTCCTTTCTTTCTTTCTTTCTTCCTTTCTT